CTAGTTCAGTCTATACTGTTAGTTTTAGTCTATACTGTTAGTTTCAGTCTATACTGCTAGTTTCAGTCTTACTGCTAGTTCAGTCTATACTGCTAGTTTCAGTCTTACTGCTAGTTCAGTCTATACTGCTAGTTTCAGTCTATACTGCTAGTTTCAGTCTAAACTGTTAGTTTTAGTATATGCTGCTAGTTTACTGCTAGCTTTAGTCTATACTGCTAGTTTTAGTCTGTAATGTTAATTTACTGTTAGTTTTAGTTTATACTGCTACTGTAGTTTGAGTCTATACTGTTAGTTTGAGTCTATACTGTTAGTTTCAGTCTATACTGCTAGTTCAGTCTATACTGCTAGTTTCAGTCTATACTGCTAGTTTCAGTCTATACTGCTAGTTTCAGTCTATACTGCTAGTTTCAGTCTATACTGCTAGTTTCAGTCTATCCTGCTACTGTAGTTTTAGACTATACTGCTAGTTTCAGTTTATACTTCTACTGCTAGTTTCAGTCTATACTGTTAGTTTTAGTCTATACTGCTAGTTTCAGTCTATACTGCTACTGTAGTTTTAGTCTATTCTGTTAGTTTTAGTCTATACTGCTAGTTTCAGTGTATACTGCTAGTTCAGTCTATACTGCTAGTTCAGTCTATACTGTTAGTTTCAGTCTATACTGCTAGTTTTAGTCTATACTGTTAGTTTTAGTCTATACTATTAGTTTCAGTCTATACTGCTAGTATTAGTCTATACTGCTGGTCCTTAACATTCCATTTGATGACAGTCCATAAGACCTTAGTTGAGTGTGGGTGCAGTATCATAGGTTCTGGGAGAGATAAGAATGTATTTTACTGTTCTTCAACAAGACATTGTATAACTGGCAGCAACAAGTCGATTTACTGAATAAAATACTATAACAAAATAAAAACAAAATATATTTACTGAACAAAAATATAAACGCAACATGTATTGTGTTGGTCCCATGTTTCATGAGCTGAAATAAATATATACCAGAAATGTTCCATACACACAAAAAGCTTATTCCTCTCAAATTCTGTGCACAAATTTGTTAAATCCCAGTTAGTGAGCATTTCTCCTTTGTCAAGATAATCCATCCACCTGACAGGTGTGGCATATCAAGAAGCTGATTAACAGCATGATCATTACACAGGTGCACTTTGAGCTGGGGACAATAAAAGGCCACTCTAAAATGTGCGGTTTTGGAGAATTTGGCAGTATGTCCAACCGGCCCAACAACCACAGACCACGTGTAACCACACCAGCCCAGGACCTCCACATCTGGCTTCTTCACCTGCGGGATTGTATGAGACCAGCCACCCGGACAGCTGATGAAACTGGGGGTTTGCTCAACCAAAGAATATCTGCCCAAACTGTCTCAGGGAAGCTCATCTGTGTGCTCGTCGTCCTCACCAGGGTCTTGACCTGACTGCAGTTTGGCATCGTAACCGACTTCAGTGGACAAATGCTCACCTTCGATGGCCACTGGCATGCTGGAGAAGTGTGCTCTTCACGGATGAATCCCGGTTTCATCTGTTCCAGGCAGAAGGCAGACAGCGGAGTCATGGAGTCATGTGGACGAGCGGTTTGCTGATGTCAACGTTGTGAACAGAGTGCCCCATGGTGGCAGTGGGGTTATGGTATGGGCAGGCATAAGCTACAGACAACAAACATAATTGTATTTTATCAATGGCAATTTGAATGCACAGAGATACCGTGACGAGATCCTGAGGCCCATTGTCGTGCCATTCATCCGCCGCCATCACCTCATGTTTCAGCACGATAATGCACGGCCCCATGTCGCAAGGATCTGTTCACAATTCCTGAAAGCTGAAAATGTCCCAGTTCTTCCATGGCCTGCATACTAACCAGACGTCACCCATTGAGCATGTTTGGGACGCTCTGGATCGACGTGTACGACAGCGTGTTCCAGTTCCCCGCAACTTTGCACAGCCATTGAAGAGTGGGACAACATTCCACAGGCCACAATCAACTGCCTGATCAACTCTAAGCGAAAGGAGATGTGTCGCGCTGCATGAGGCAAATGGTGGTCACACCAGATACTAATAGGTTTTCTGATACACGCCCCTACCTTTAAAAAAAGTATCTGTGACCAACAGATGCATATCTGTATTCCCAGTCATGTGAAATCCGTAGATTAAGGCCCAATGAATTTATTTACATTTACTGGATTTCTTTATATGAACTGTAACTCAGTAAAATATTTTAAATTATTGTATGTTGCGTTTCTATTTTTGTTCAGTGTAGGTCCAAAGGCTAAGCAACTCATGAAATGGATGAACATTTTTCAGATACACACGTACAAAAATAAGTCCCCAAGAATAAATTAGAGTCCCAACGCAATGTTCATTTTAAAGTGAAAATGTATATTTTTATTGGTACCATACATTAATTAATCAATAATTATCAAGGGCAGAAAACTAACCAAAATATCAAACCAGGCTTTTTCTAAAGGGTTGGTTTAGGGTACCAGTCACCTTTCTCTAGGTTGCATCCAAAATGGCACCCTATTCCCTTATATAGCGCACTACTTTTGACCAGGGCCAATGGGTTCTGGTCCAAAGTAGTGCACTATGTAGGGAATAGGGTGCCATTCGGGACAGACTCTCTCTGTTACCTGTTTAAAAGCCAGAGCTGTACTGAAATGGAAATGTACACAATGTATTTGACAAGAGCTTGAACAACATTTACAGACCAAAACAAAAAAGGTCATGTCACAAATGGCACCCTGTTCTCATATTGGCCCTGATCAAAAGTAGAGTACTACCTAGGGAGGAGCCTATGGGAGGGGGGGGGGGGGGGGGATAATATCACTGTTTGAACTGGATGTATAATGGGAGTTGAAAGTTGTTATAAATCAATTATTGTATTTGTGATACTCTTAACAGTGCCCCCTTGTGAGAATTGAAGGTATTACCAAACATGCACAACAGACTCAATACTACAGATCAAGCCTATACAACACATGTATTGGAAATATATACAACCCTACGACTTCAATGAAACATTAATAATTAGTTGGAGGCTGCGTCCCAAACGGCACTCTATTCCGTATGTAGTGCACTACTTTTGACCAGCACTTTATTGGGAATAGGGTCCCATTTGGGACACAAATATGGTAGAATTATGTCAGGTTGTCTTTTTAGACTACTTCGGAACAGCAGTAGATAGTTAGCTTGGAAGCTTATTTGCTAATAGTAGTGTACATTTCGGATAAGTGTATGTATGTGTAATCGGGGGGGGGGTTGGAGAAACATAACGTATATCTGATATTTCATTAAAAAATAAATAGAAAACAAAATGGAAAAAAGATCAGCTGAACTGGAAGATGCAAACATGTCTTCTCAATGGTGACTGTACCCCAGGGTTTTTTTTATTGAATGTACACAAGTAAATAAAAATAAAAAAAGAGAGCGAGAGGATTGGTGGAGAGGTTCATGTGTTTGAGAGAGGATTGGTGGAGAGGGTCATGTGTTTGAGAGAGGATTGGTGGAGAGGGTCATGTGTTTTCTTCTTCTTTTTGTCCATTTATTTTGTCTTTCTTTTCCCCCATTAGATCAGAATGGCTTCAGGTACCTCTAAGTTAGAATACAGTCGTACAGAACTTTGCTACTACCTTAAATATACAAGCACAAATACACTAAAAACAAGAAGGAGAAAATCAATCTCAAAAAAACATCCACAATTATTTCTCTTTAAAACATAAAAGATATTAAAACAAACCAAATCTATTTTTTCGGGGAGGAAGGGGTAGAATAAAAGCAGTCCTGTTTTCTGGCTCCTTGGTCTGGTAGCGTCTCAATATCGTCCATAAAAAAGAACAAATAAAAAGTAGAATTGAAATGCAGGAGTAGAAAATAAAATAAAAACATTCTAGGGAAATAGACTGGTATAAAACTCTAAAATGTTGTTGTTTAAATGCTTTCTGTTATAAGGTTGGATCAGTACTCCTTCAATGGTGTGTGTGTGTGTGTGTGAGAGAAATCATTTTAAACTGATTGGATCTCAACTCCGGTCCGCTAGCCTTGGCACAGTCCGGGCTTTTGTTCTGACCAAGTACAGCCACACACACAAACATACACACAAACATACACACACACACACACACACACATGCAGCAGCAGAGTGGACCAGAGCTAAGCTCCATATCTAGTGAACATGATTCTTCTGAAGGTAGATGGGTGAGTAGCCGTCCCTAAGCGACTCCACGTGTTCCCCCCCCCAACAACCCTCTCCCTACCCCACCCCCCCTTCCTGCACCCCTACCTGGGTGCATCTCAACCGTCCCAAACGACTTCCCTCTCCTCATCTCCTCTGGTCTCTTCTTAAAAGCCAGGCTAGGAGAGCCAGGTATGGAGGATCCCCATGTAAGTAATAGCTATCAGTCATTTCCTTTCATCTACCAAGCTCTCATATCAGAACTGATTTAGGAAGGTAGACAAGGAAAGGAAACCTCTACTCCTTCTACTCCAAGGCCTAGATAAGATCCATATTAAAAGGGGGCAATCTGCAGTCGCTACATCCATTTTTGGACTTATAAATTAATGATATATACCCATTGATTATTGAAGAAGATGACCTATAAATGCCTTATGAGCTTAATTCAACTGACGTACCCCATCAGAACCCATAATATAAGCTTGTTTTACTCTAATGTTTGTAACCATTGTAAATATAAACAAAAACTGTATAGCCTCAAAACTATATATTTTTGTATATCTTGGATGGTCAGTCCTTGTACCCATAGCTGTCTATGAATTTGAGAGTGGTTACATTTCTCCAGGCCCATCCCTCAGCTTTTTACCAAAACAGAGGCAGAGGTGAAGCTTTGTTATTTTTTCAACATGGATTGCCCCTTTAAGAGAAAGAGATAAGAACAGTCAGGAAGCCACTATAGACAATTGACACACACCCAAAGGAGAGGAAGCCCCATTTAGACTATCGAAGCCCCATCCCCTCCCTCCCTCCCTCCCCTCCTCTACTGGGAGGCCTGAGAGGTAGGGTTGTCACTCTTGCTCTCCTGGCTGGATGGGGCCTTGTTGTTCCAGGGAGAGTTGGCGCCCAGTGCGGGGCTGTTGTTGAAGCTGTCCTCGTCATCGATGCCGTTGGCCGCGTCGAACTGTTGGTTCTCCAGCCGCGTGATCAGGCGCTCGTCCTCGTCCCCGAACTCCCCACCCATCAGGGTGGGCTCTCCCACCACCATCACATCCTAAAGGGGAGGAAGAAACCATTATTACAGAGAAAGGGGGAGGAGACTACTACTACTACTATAGCTAGCTCTCCTCCTATCAGGGTGGGCTCTTCCTCCACCATCACATCCTAAAGGGGAGGGAGATACCTTTATAACAGAGATAGGGGGGTAGAAAATAAACCTTCCTATAAGGAAGAAACCTTCCTGGTCACTGTGCTCTGGCTTCTGCCTTGCTTGCTCTTTGGGGTTTTAGACCATGTAACTGTAACACACCGTGACAACTGCTGATGTAAAAAGGGCTTCATAAAATTCATGATTGATTTGACTGCTACTTACTGGTACTTGGCTGGACAGGGGGAAGCTGCTAGCTGGACTCTTCTTCTTGTTGTTGTTGGTGGTGGTTCCTCCTCCAGCACTCATGGTGCTGCCGCCAGACATCTTACGCTTCCTCCTCTTATTAGGGGCCTGTCTGGCTGGTTCAGCTAGAGGAGAGAGGAGAGAAGAGAGGAGAGGAGAGAGAGGAGAGAGGAGGGATGAAGGAGAGAGGAGGAGGAGAGAGAGAGAGAGGGGGGGAAGATGGGGCTAGGTGCTTTTTTTATTCTTGGGTTCATCTGGTTTTTGAGTGTTAGGTTCGTAGGTCCGGAGTTTGTGTGTAGTCTTTGTCTGAACCCAGCCCCAGATCTTGATGTGTGTGAGAGTTTGTGTGCATGTGAGCGCGTGTGTGTGCTTACTCGGAGCCTGCCTCTCCGGCTCCTCTGGGGGAAAGGGGGGAGAGAGGGAGAGTTTGGGGTTAGGGAGGAGGAGTGTGTGCGTGTGTGTGTGTGTGTGTGTGTTGTGGTGTTGTGTGTGTGTACAACCGTTCCCGTATGTGTGTTGGTCGTTTCTCCTGCCGCGTGGTCCTGTCTGCCTGTGTGTTTGTGGTGTGTTTGTATGCGCTGTGCGTTGTTGTGTGTGTGTGTGTGTATGCGCCTTTGTGTCGTGTGTGTGTGTGTGTATGCGCTGTGTGTGTGTGTGTGTGTGTGTGTATGCGCTGTGTGTTGTGTGTGTGTGTATGCGCTGTGCGTTGTGTGTGTGTAAATGCGCTGTGCGTTGTGTGTATGCCCTGTGCGTTGTGGTGTGTGTATGCGCTGTGCGTTGTGTGTGTGTGGTGTATGCGCTGTGCATTGTGTGTGTGAGTGTATGCGCTGTGCGTTGTGTGTGTGTGTATGCGCTGTGCGTTGTGTGTGTGTATGCGCTGTGCATTGTGTGTGTGTGTGTGTGTGTGTATGCGCTGTGCGTTGTGTGTGTGTGTATGCGCTGTGCGTTGTGTGTATGCGCTGTGCATTGTGTGTGTGTGTATGCGCTGTGCGTTGTGTGTGTGTGTTACCTGGAGGGGCCACCATGCGTTGCCACTTCTGGAAGAGGCAGGTCTTGAGACAGTCCCTGGGGCTGAGGCTGTATGTCTTGTGTCTGGACATCAGCTCCTGCATGGGCTCCAGAATCACACACAGCTACAGGAGAGACATGACGGAGGGAGGGAGGGAGGGAGGGAGACATGAGATGATAGAGAGACAAGACAACATTCGTTGTGTTGTAGAAATTACCACCAGGTGTGGATTATTTATGACACGAACGACAAGATGAACATTTTCAAGGCTGTCTCTTCACACAATAACATTTCCTTCACAGTTGACTTCAGTAAAATCTTCTACACTAGTTTGTAGGCCCGTCCAGAAACACCCTCTAGATCTGAAAAGTTTGATAGGTGTAAGCTATATGGCAATATCAGGGGACATGATGAAACTACTACCATACCTATCAGTACTATATTAAATTACTACCATACCTATCAGTACTATATTAAAGTACTACCATACCTATCAGTACTATATTAAACTACTACCATACCTATCAGTACTATATTAAAGTACTACCATACCTATCAGTACTATATTAAACTACTACCATACCTATCAGTACTATATTAAACTACTACCATACCTATCAGTACTATTTTAAACTACTACCATACCTATCAGAGGACTATATTAAACTACTACCATACCTATCAGTACTATATTAATGTACTACCATACCTATCAGAGGACTATATTAAACTACTACCATACCTATCAGTACTATATTAAACTACTACCATACCTATCAGTACTATATTAAACTACTACCATACCTATCAGTACTATATTAAACTACTACCATACCTATCAGTACTATATTAAAGTACTACCATACCTATCAGTACTATATTAAACTACTACCATACCTATCAGTACTATATTAAACTACTACCATACCTATCAGTACTATATTAATGTACTACCATACCTATCAGTACTATATTAAACTACTACCATACCTATCAGTACTATATTAATGTACTACCATACCTATCATAGGACTATATTAAACTACTACCATACCTATCAGTACTATATTAAAGTACTACCATACCTATCAGTACTATATTAAACTACTACCATACCTATCAGTACTATATTAAACTACTACCATACCTACTACTATTGATTGAATCCAAGATGGCGAAGTAGTGCAGTTCTGTTTTTGTCGTGTGTCTGTAAATAGCCTGTAAATACCCTGTTTTTTGTTGTTTTTTCGTACATATTTCCCTATCAGACTTTTCATCCTTCTACAAAATATACTTTCCTGCAACCCGCCTCACTCAATGTGGAACGGATTCTATTATTGACTTACCTTTTATCTAGAATCTCCAGTTGAAACTAGCTAGCCAGCTAACTAGCTACTTACTATTAGCCACAGTTAGCGGTATTTCACCCAGAACATTGGATTTTTTTCTGCGGGATTAATTCAATCACTGGATATTAATCACCGGATATTCGGCCAGTCTGCACAGCGCGTTATCGACCCAGAACATATCAGTTTTTCTGCCGGAATCACTGAATCACTGGACCTTTAACTCCGGATTCATCGCTACCAGCTAGCTTCAACTAAATGGACGCTGTGGTCTGGCTAATCATCCTGAGCTAGGCCCATCTCCCGGCTATCTACCTCTCTGTCAACCGGACGGGACCACCTAGTGTTGACAAGGAGCCCCGCCGATACAACACGACTGGTTTGCCGACGAAATAGTCTGATGTGGTTTCAACAGGCTTCCCGTTGCGACGACCACGAAGATCCATCTGCCAGCCCCGGCCTGCTAGCACACGCAAACTACAACTGTGCTCCCTGCTAGCTGTGCTGAAGCACCAATTTGAACTGCTCTCGGACTCACATATTGCTGTTCACTGGACCTTATGATCACTCAGCTGCACAGCTGATGCCTGCTGGACTGTTCCTTTACACGGTACCCTGTCCTGTTTATTCTGTTTAGTCTTAGCCCAAACGTTATCGCTATTTCCAGTTGTGTCTTAGCTCTCTCTAATAACACCTGTGACTGCTTTATGCCTCTCTCCCATGTCAATTATGCCTTGCCTATTGCTGTTTGGGTTAGTTCTTATTATACAATTTCACTGTAGAACCCCTAGTCCCTCTCAAACTGCCTCATATAGTTCCTTTTTTCCACCCCCCATACACGCCGAGACCGGCTCAATCGGTGCCTCCAATGACGCTATCTCTTTCATTGTTACCCAACGCTTAGGGTTACCTGAACTGTACTCATATCCTTCCATATCCTTTTCTGTACATAATGCCTGAATCTTTTCTACAACGCCCGGAGAACTGCCCCCTTTATTCTATGTACCCAACGCACTAGAAGACCAGTTCTTAAAGCCTTTAGTCGTATCCTTATTCTAGTCCTCCTCTGTTCCTCTGGTGATGTAGAGGCTAAACCCAGGCCCTGCAGCCCCCAGTATCACTCCTACTCCCCAGGAGCTATCATTTGTTGACTTCTGTAACCGTAAAAGTCTTGGTTTTCTGCACATAAATATCAGAAGCCTCCTTCCTAAGTTTGAGTTATTCACTGCGTTAGCACACTCCACCAACCCTGATGTTCTAGCAGTGTCTGAATCCTGGCTTAGGAAGGCCACCAAAAATTCTGAAATTTCCATCCCCAACTATAACATTTTCCATCTAGATAGAACTGCCAAAGGGGGTGGAGTTGCAATCTACTGTAGAGATAGCCTGCAGAGCTTCATCATACTATCCAGGTCTGTGCCCAAACAGTTTGAGCTTCTACTTCTAAAAATCCACCTTTCCAGAAATAAATCTCTCACTGTTGCCGCTTGCTACAGACCCCCCTCAGCCCCCAGCTGTGCCCTGGACACCATATGTGAATTGATTGCCCCCCCATCTATCCTCAGAGTTCGTACTGCTTGGTGACCTAAATTGGGATATGCTTAACACCCCGGCCATCCTACAATCTAAACTAGATGCCCTCAATCTCACACAAATTATCAACGAACCTACCAGGTACAAACCTAAATCCGAAACATGGGTACCCTCATAGATATCATCCTGACTAACTTACCCTCTAAATACACCTCCGCTGTCTTCAACCAGGATCTCAGCGATCACTGCCTTATTGCCTGCGTCCGTAACGGGTCCGCGGTCAAACGACCACCCCTCATCACTGTCAAACGCTCCCAAAAACACTTCAGCGAGCAGGCCTTCCTAATTGACCTGGCCCAGGTATCCTGGATGGATATAGATCTCATTCCGTCAGTAGAGGATGCCTGGTTGTTCTTTAAAAGTAATTTCCTCTCAATCTTAAATAGACATGCCCCATTCAAAAATACAGAACTAAGAACAGATATAGCCCCTGGTTCTCCTCAGACTTGACTGCCCTTGACCAGCACAAAAACATCCTGTGGCGTACTGCATTAGCATCAAATAGCCCCCGCGATATGCAACTTTTCAGGGAAGTTAGGAACCAATATACACAAGCAGTTAGGAAAGCAAAGGCTAACTTTTTCAAACAGAAATTTGCATCCTGTAGCACTAACTCCAAAAAGTTTTGGGACACTGTAAAGTCCATGGAAAATAAGAGCACTTCCTCCCAGCTGCCCACTGCACTGAGGCTAGGAAACACTATCACCACCGATAAATCTACAATAATCGAGAATTTCAACAAGCATTTTGCTACGGCTGGCCATGCTTTCCACCTGGCTACCACTACCCCGGCCACCAGCTCTGCACCCTCCCGCTGCAACTTGCCCATGCCCCCCCCCGCTTCTCCTTCACACAAATCCAGACAGCTGATGTTCTAAAAGAGCTGCAAAATCTGGACCCCTACAAATTATCTGGGCTAGACAATCTGGACCCTTTCTTTCTAAAACTAGCCGCCGAAATTGTCGCAACCCCTATTACTAGCCTGTTCAACCTCTCTTTCGTAACGTCTGAGATCCCCAGAGATTGGAAAGCTGCCGCGGTCATCCCCCTCTTCAAAGGGGGTGACACTCTAGATCCAAACTGTTACAGACCCATATCCATCCTGCCCTGCCTTTCAAAAGTTTTTGAAAGCCAAGTCAACAAACAGATCACCGACCATTTCGAATCCCACCGTACCTTCTCCGCTATGCAATCCGGTTCCGAGCTGGTCATGGGTGCACTTCAGCCACGCTCAAGGTCCTAAACGATATTATAACCGCGATCGATAATAGACAGTACTGTGCAGCCGTTTTCATTGACCTGGCCAAGGCTTTCGACTCTGTCAACCAACGCATTCTTATTGGCAGACTAAATAGCCTTGGTTTCTCAAATGACTGCCTCGCCTGGTTCACCAACTACTTCTCAGATAGAGTTCAATGTGTCAAATCGGAGGGCCTGTTATCTGGACCTATGGCAGTCTCTATGGGGGTGCCACAGGGTTCAATTCTTGGGCCGACTCTTTTCTCTGTGTATATCAATGACGTCGCTCTTGCTGCTGGTGACTCTCAGATCCACCTCTACGCAGACACCATTTTGTATACATCTGGCCCTTCATTGGACACTGTGTTAACAAACCTCCAAACGAGCTTCAATTCCATACAACACTCCTTCAGTAGCCTCCAACTGCTCTTAAACACTAGTAAAACTAAATGCATGCTCTTCAACCGAACGCTGCTTGCACCCGCCCACCCGACTAGAATCACTACTCTCGACGGGTCTGACCTAGAGTATGTGGACAACTACAAATACCTAGGTGTCTGGTTAGACTGTACTCTCCTTCCAGACTCACATTAAGAATCTCCAATCCAAAGTTAAATCTAGAATCGGTTTCCTATTTCGCAACAAAGCCTCCTTCACTCATGCTGCCAAACATGCCCTCGTAAAACTGACTATCCTACCGATTCTTGACTTCGGCGATGTCCTTTACAAAATAGCCTCCAACACTCTACTCAGCAAATTGGATGTAGTCTATCACAGTGCCATCCGTTTTGTCTCCAAAGCCCCATATAATACCCACCACTGTGACCTGTACGCTCTTGTTGGCTGGTCCTCACTACATATTCGTCGCCAAACCCACTGGCTCCAGGCCATCTATAAATCACTGCTAGGCAAATCCCCGCCTTATCTTAGCTCATTGGTCACCATAGCAACACCCACCCGTAGTCTGCGCTCCAGCGGGTATATCTCACTGGTCATCCCCAAAGCCAACACCTCCTTTGGCCGCAATTCCTTCCAGTTCTCTGCTGCCAATGACTGGAACAAATTGCAAAAATCTCTGAAGCTGGAGACACTTATCTCCCTCACTAACTTTAAGCATCAGTTGTCAGAGCACCTTACCGATCACTGCACCTGTACACAGCCCATCTGAAATTAGCCCGCCCAACTACCTCATCCCTATATTGTTATTTATTTTGCTCATTTGTACCCCAGTATCTCTATTTGCACATCATCTCTTGCACATCTATCATTCCAGTGTTAATACTAATTGTAATTATTTTGCACTATAGCCTATTTTATTGCCTTACCTCCATAACTTGCTAAATTTGCACACACTGTATATTATATGTATTTCTGTTGTATTTTTGACTTTGTTTTGTTTTACCCCATATGTAACTCTGTGTTGTTGTTTTTATCGCACTGCTTTGCTTTATCTTGGCCAGGTCGCAGTTGTAAATGAGAACTTGTTCTCAACTGGCTTACCTGGTTAAATAAAGGTGAAATAAAAAATAAATAAATAAAAATATTAAACTACTACCATACCTAGCAGTACTATATTAAAAACTACTACCATACCTATCAGAACTACAGTATATTCAACTACTACCATACCTATCAGTACTATATTAAACTACTACCATACCTATCAGGAACATGGAACCTCTCACCATTACAATAAGCATTTTTTGGGGGGGTATGATATTTGTGTGTCTGTAACTCGTATCATTATTCACGATTCATTCAAGATTATCCATAATCATGGTAGCATCCACATTAAATGTAGAAGTGTTTAGAAACATATTCCATTCTTATTTACAGTAAAATGACAATACATTATTTACCATTCATTTCTATTGGGCACCAAATAATCAGAAACGCAACCAAAACAAAGAGCAAATGCATCCAACAAGTTTGTAGAGTCACAAGCTTGATGTAGTCATTGTGTGATATGAATATGGGACTACTTTAATACACATAAGTGGATTAGTCCTAATGCTTTAGGTCCCCTAAAATGGGGGGACTATGTACAAAAGGTTTCTAAACGGTTCACCAGATATGGATGGAAATACCCTCAAATTAAAGCTGACAGTCTGCACTTTAACCTCAGTCATCGTTTCATTTGAAATCCAAATTGCTGGAGTAGAGTAAAAACAACAAAAGATGTGTCACCGTCACAATACTTTTGCAGCTCACTGTATGGGCTTTGTTGAACCAAATGTTACTCCTGAATTCATTTAGACTTGCCTAAACAAAGGGGCTACGGCTATATTTTAGTTATCCAATTTTTATTCATAAAAAAAAAAGAGAGAATTGTTCTTCTACTTCTGACAGAGTATTTTGAGTAGATTGTTGCCAAAAAATTACAATTAAATCAATTTTAATCTCACTTTGTAACACAATAAAATTAGAAGATATCCAAGGGGTATGAATAGTTTTTGCAAGGCACTGATCTACATTTGTTGTGTTGTTGTTGTTGTTGTGTTGTGTTGTTGTGTGTACTCACTCGGAGGTAGTTGAGGGTGGAGTTAGACAGTCCACATCTGGTGATATTCTTAGACAGCTGGTCTAACATCTGGGGGTCCTGGGCCTGTAGGGTTAGAGGTCAGACACCATGTATTGATCTGTCTACCACCGCTATTAGACAGCAGATGAAGTGAATTTATGGTAGTGGTGTGTGTGTGTGTGTGTGTGTGTGTGTGTCTGTTATAACTTACGTGCATGGCCAGTATACTGCGTGGTATCAGTTCACGGTGCTGTCGGATGCTGAAGTGCCACGTCTTGATCCTCATCATGTCGTCAAACATGAACTCCAGGTACAGACGACCTTCCACACACACCTATAGGGGTCAAAGGTCAGGGTTGCACTTTCTTCAAAGGGGATAAGGAAAGTTCACCAAAACAATGTGTTATGTTCAGAATATTTGTTGTGTTCAAAGGGTGCAAAGACAGCAATTTACCAGCAACTATGGGCCGAATCCTAGCATGACATACATGTGTAGACTTTCACGTAAAAGATGCATTGATTTCATTCATTTGAGTTACGAAATGCAGATTTTGATGTTAGGATTCTACCCCATGTTTACAATAGATAGTGTCTGCAGGAAAGATATAGCCTGCACACACACACACACACACACACACACTGTCCCCCTGACATACACACACACACACACACACACACACACTGTCCCCCTGACATACACACACACACACTGTCCCCCTGACATACACACACACACACACACACACACTGTCCCCCTGACATACACACACACACACACACTGTCCCCCTGACATACACACACACACTGTCCCTGACATACACACAGACACACACACACACTGTCCCCCTGACATACACACAGACACACACACACTGTCCCCCTGACATACACACACACACACACACACACACACACACACACACACTGTCCCCCTGACATACACACACACACTGTCCCTGACATACACACACACACTGTCCCCCTGACATACACACAGACACACACATAAAAACAAATCCTCTCTCTCTCTCTCTCTCTCTGTTACACACACCCACCCCCTCGTACCTGTGTGAACATGGGTTTTCCGTTCTGAGTAACCATGGTACACTGGTCACAGTCCAGCGAGACAAAGTTGTTGTGGAAGGATTCTTTGGGGTGCTTCAACACGTAGTAGAGGTCGGTGGCACCGCCCTCGAATATACTCCGGAAGTACCGCGGGATCAACGTCCGGCCAATCGCTGCGGAGGAGGAGGAGGAGACAGGAAGTAGAAGAACAGTGGAGTATAAGAACACAACAATAGAGTCTAATAGGGTGGTTTCCAAGACACACATTAACCATAGCCTTGGACTAAACAGCAAGATCAATGGAGAATCTAGGCTTAGTCTGTGTCCAGGAAACCACCCCATATTAATCACAACACGGACTAGAATCATGACTTTTTGGCACTAACTCTCTTACACTGACTATGCACACACACTGGACTCTACCCACACACTCACACATACTTACACTCCAACACACACAACATACGCCCACACACACACGCATACTGACGCCACACACCCACACTTTCATACTCACCATGTACGCTGCTGCTACTGTCTATTATCTATCCTGTTGCCTAGTCACTTCACCCTTACCTATTATGTACAGTACATAGCTAACTCAATTACCTCGTACCCCTGCACATTGACTCAGTACTGGTACTCCCTGTATACAGACATGTTATTTTTACTTGTTATTCACTGTGGATTTCTTCCTCGTGTCACTTTAACTCTGCATTTCACTGTTAGTCTACACCTGTTGTCTACGAAGCATGTGACCAACAACATTTGATTTGATTATAATCACAGGAAGTAGAAGAATACAACAACAACTCATGCTTTGAGCGTTGAGAGACATTTCTGTGTATGTGTGAGTGTGTGTGTTCTTACTGTATCTTTTGGGCCCGTCCTCCAGACAGAAGGTTATGGTCAACATGGCGTCGTCCTCAAAGAACTCTGTAGTGAACGCATCCCACCACAGGTTATCACACTCCTAGAGAGAGGAGAGAGAGAGATGAATAGTTAGCAACATGTTAAGTCAGCCTAGTAAGTACTAAAACAAAAGAACTCATAGTATTCAGTATGGTAGTCTTAGTAAAACAATAACTTGAGAACTAGAGGAGAGAGAGAGGGAGGGAGTTAGCATAGTATTCAGTATGGTAGTCTTAGTAAAACAATAACTTGAGAACCAGGAGCAGAGAATCATGGAATGACAGAGACAGACAGACAGACAGACAGACAGACAGAGGGTCGGGCAGAGAGATTAAGTTAAGCGTTCAGCTCCACTCTACCTCTGTCCAATTCTGTAGCCGTTTGTTGAGCTCAAATATCCTGTAGTCTGTCTGGTTCCCGTACGGTGTGTGCCTCCTGAGACAGACAGACAGACAGACAGGAGAGGTTAGACGTAGCAATAGCTTGACTTGGGTCAGAGTAACGGCACTTCCTATAGAATATTGGCTTTAAAATATTGCAGAGTTCCGTCACCTAAATATAAACGGTACCGGAACCCAAACTGAGTACAGGGACATATTTCAATCCACTTCAAGCACTGGCTGTAGCAAAATGGAAGTAGGTCTGTGATATCAAAACAATAGACATCCAGACTAAAGTAGAAACAGTCAGGAGGTCTTACCCTATTCCAGGCTCCAGGTATGAGGGGGGGTACATGGGGGTTGGGCTGCAGAGAGAGAGAGACAGAGAGAGAGAGAGAGACAGAGAGAGAGAGAGAGAGAGAGAGAGAGAGAGAGAGGCAGAGAGGCAGAGAGGCAGAGAGAGAGAGAGAGAGAGGGAAGACAAATGGTCAAATAAATAAATATCTAGTTTAATACTAGTCTTTCTCCACATAACAATGTGAATTGTAACTGTTGCCTGTTATCTGTAAGAACCAGAGAAGGCAGTTAGCCTAGACATGTACCCCCCCCCCCCCCCCCCCCCCCAACCACACACACACACACAATCTCAACCTCACACACACCATGTCACTGTTTTTGCCAGTCTTCCACCCCATGGGGGAGGACAATAGAAACACAACAACCCAGAGCGCCCACACTAGAGCAGCAGCAGTCAGATCAACCCAGAGCACCCACACTAGAGCAGCAGCAGTCAGATCAACCCAGAGCACCCACACTAGAGCAGCAGCAGTCAGATCAACCCAGAGCACCCACACTAGAGCAGCAGCAGTCAGATCAACCCAGAGCACCCACACTAGAGCAGCAGCAGTCAGATCAACCCAGAGCGCCCACACTAGAGCAGCAGCAGTCAGATCAACCCAGAGCACCCACACTAGAGCAGCAGCAGTCAGATCAACCCAGAGCGCCCACACTAGAGCAGCAGCAGTCAGATCAACCCAGAGCACCCACACTAGAGCAGCAGCAGTCAGATCAACCCAGAGCGCCCACACTAGAGCAGCAGCAGTCAGATCAACCCCCTGTGATCTGGAGGAGCTAACAGGTCTACCTGTAGGCAGCCATCTCAGGGGAGGAGCTAACAGGTCTACCTGTAGGCAGCCATCTCAGGGGAGGAGCTAACAGGTCTACCTGTAGGCAGCCATCTCAGGGGAGGAGCTAACAGGTCTACCTGTAGGCAGCCATCTCAGGGGAGGAGCTAACAGGTCTACCTGTAGGCAGCCATCTCAGGGGAGGAGCTAACAGGTCTACCTGTAGGCAGCCATCTCAGGGGAGGAGCTAACAGGTCTACCTGTAGGCAGCCATCTCAGGGGAGGAGCTAACAGATCTACCTGTAGGCAGCCATCTCAGGGGAGGAGCTAACCCACCCTGACTCAGCAAGACACACACACACACGCCGAAAAGCACCACAAAATGACACACAGAATACAACAATGTTCCAGGTGTGTGTGTCCTACTCACCCCACGTCTCTGTCCAGCATGGTGCCGGGGTGGAAAGGGGGAAAGGTGCTACCGTTGGGGGGCTCCTTTGGGGAGTACAGCTTGAATGACTTGGAGGAACAGCCTGAAAGAAAAGAAAGAATGAAAGAGAGAGAGAGAAAGAGAGAAAGAGAGAGAGAGAGAGAGAATTAGAACTAATGACTGTATATGTAGCCACTGTACAGAATACATTATTATAAGTTGTTAAAGTTGCAATATGTAACTTTTTGGGCGACTAGACTAAATTAACTTAGAAATGTGTATTATAGATCTGTCATTGAAAGCCAGTCTAAGAACCGGTAGATATGTTCTATGTGTGCTATTTCTATGCTTCCCTTCTTAAGTTTCGTTTTTGCGTCTTTTACTTTCGATTTTGTACACCAGCTTCAAAAATATTTTTCACAGCGGTTTAGATGGTACAATGATTCTCTACACTATACTTACTTTATAATTTTAGCAACCAGGAAATGGCGGAGCGATTTCTGCATAGTGCATCTTTAAGTGATAAGTGAGTGAGTGTGTGTGTGTGGTGCATGGATACTAGTAGGGCAGGCCAGTTCTGGTCAGCAGCCACACTGCGGTGCACACACCACACACACGTCAGTTGAAATTGTTAAAAGTAGTCTGGTTTGTTTAACTTTGAAATCAATGTTTTTTTGTTTGGTATACATTTTAAAGTGAAAAATCATCGTTTTAGCGTTACCAATGGAATTGCCCCCCACTCTATGCCATGTACGTAACATCTCTCTCTCAAACATCCTCTACCCCCTGTCCCCCCCCCCCCCTCGTCTCCTTCTCACACCCCTCTACTCCGCCCTCCTCTGTATCCTCTAATTACCCAGCTCTACTATAAAGAGCATCCAGCCACGCTAAGCCTAACCCTGGACCAGGGGTCACACACAAAGCCACGCTGCCTGACAGCCTGGACCAGAGGTCATGACCCGTACTGTCTGATAGAAACTCTCCTCCTTAATGTTAATGTCTCCTGACTCAGCTCACTGTGTGTGTGTGTGTGTGTGTGTGTGTAGCCCTGCCCATTGTTAATGTCTCCTGACTCATCTCACATAGCCTATACAGCTGACTATATAATAATAACAACAACATATGCCATTTAGCAGATGCTTTAATCCAACGACACTTATGCGTGACTGATGATATGACTGATTCCTTTACATTTTAGTCATTTAGCAGACGCTCTTATCCAGAGCGACTTACAGTTAGTGAGTGCATACTTCATACATTCCTTGGTGGTGTTGTGCTCATAGGTCTATAGTGTGAATATTAACGCCATCATCTCTCCTCCGAGGCTACAATCGTAGTCAGAGTGCTGTATAACTGCAGTTAGAGTGCATTATATAGCTGCAAAAACTGCGTCCAAAATAACACTGTTTTTTGACTGCAGTAAATTTCCAATGTAACTGCAGTCAGAGTACAGTATAACTGCAGTTCAATTACTGCGTCCAAAATACCACAGTCGACTGCAGTTTTGAAACTACAATCTTTTTTTGTGTTTATGCAAATTGGGCATTAACATTTCCTTGGCAAGCGGTCTGATATACCACGGCTGTCAGCCAATCAGCATTCAGGGCTCGAGCCACCCAGTTTATAATTTAGAATTAAACGTGGAGTGGAGCTTTATAGTTACGTGACGACATCACGTGCCCCGCAATCATCAATTATTCTAAAAAAAACATCATTTCCATCATGATGTCGCAATAAAGAAAGTTAGACAAAAGAAAAATACACACATTTTGTCGATCGTTAGAAAATGTCTCCTACATCTGCCATTTCCATTACACGTCGCAATTCTTTTTTTTGCGACGTTGCTTTTGTCGAATAAACCTGGGTCAATGGAAACCTGCCTATTGTCATGCCAAACATTGTCATCGTGGCAAACTTGACAGTTGTCATGACATTTTTTTTTATTTAACCTTTATTTAACCAGGTAAGCCAGTTGAGAACAAGTTCTCATTTACAACTGCAACCTGGCCAAGATAAAGCAAAGCAGTGACAAGGGAAGGAGAGTGTGTGGGTGATTTCTGCTTTGTCTTACATTTTAGTCATTTAGCAGACGCTCTTATCCAGAGCCACTTACAGTTAGTGAGTGCATACATTTTCATACTGGCCCCCCGTGGGAAACGAACCCACAACCCTGGCGTTGCAAGCGCCATGCTCTACCAACTGAGCTACAGGGGACCTTAAAACCACACTGTACCCTTTGACTGAAGTCACACACAAACACCTCCCTGACGTCAACAGAACACAATCGCACACCTCCGCTCACACACACACACACACACAACAGGACAGAGTAGCATGCCTATTCAGAACATTCTCCATCAATCTACCTGTCAAAGCCACAGCAGGCAGGGGGGTGGTAACACAATGGTAGTAAACTCCCTCAACCTCATCTCACACACACAGGAAGTAGCACCTCTGTCACAAGGGTTGGTCTCATAAAACATTTATCCGAGAGACACACACACACACTGCAACCACACACACACACACTTATCATTACTCTATACAGTCACTGTGCTGACTGAGGAACAAAGTGTCTCAGACACACAGACATTAAAATATGGATCTTCCAGAGACAGACACACACATGCATGGAGTAGACCCAGAGACCGACAGGAGAGCGTTATCACGACCGCCAAAACACTATCTTGCTCAAACCAAAGTATCAAATTGGGTGTAGCCTAACTGTTTGTTGTGGAATTAGGGCTGATCGATATATCGAATTCATTTGAATGTATGTTTTAGCGCGGTGTTCCAAATGGCTGTATCGCAAGAATCAATGGTTTTTATTTTTTGATGTTTTTATGAGCGTTTGTCTTTTTGGTCTCATCTCCTTCCCTCCTCCTGACACCAAGCCCCTCCTCCTGACACCAAGCCCCTCCTCCTTCTGTGCTGTGGGCACTGTGAACCTTCCCACTCCCACTCAGACACCAAGCCCCTACCACTCACAACAACAAAGACGAAAGATCACTTCTTCTTCAACTCGCTATTTACATTTGAGGTTTGGTCCAACAGAATCGGTCAGATGGAGACCGAAACACATTGAGACATTCTTTTATTGTAATAGATAAGAAATTAACCTTTCTAACAATACCTTTTAAATGTCTCAACTTCCAAAATGTAGAACAGAGCAGACCCTACTAAAACGGGAGTATCAATGAACATGCTGTGGAAAATGTATCTCAATTTGTGTTGCGCGTGGCACTGCGGTACCACCATCCTCTAGCAGCATTTTAGCCACATGCTGTTATGTGCTAACTGTCTAGTCCAGTGGTTCCCCAACCCTTGGGGGTACTTGGCCTATCCACAGGGAGTACTTGAGAAGACTCATGAGACCATAGGCCTACTGGTAAAATGCACGAGGGGTACTCCGGGCCAAGCAACATTCAGTTGGTGGTACAGTAACCGAAAGCGGTTGGGAACCACTGGCCTAGTCTGTTTTATAAATGTGCAATGGGCATAAAAAAAACATTATATAAGGAATTGGCAACTTGTTCTCATTCTGAGAAATAAGCATATTCTTATCCAGGTATTACAACAAAACAAATGGATACATTAATTAATTAATATTATTTCCATTACATGCTAAGAGACTGCAGTACAAACCCATTAGCTCTGATCCTTCACTTGGTGTGTGTGTATGTGTGTGTGTGTGTGTGTAAAGAACCATTAGCTCTGTTCCTTTACTTCGTGGTAAATGATGGGTCAGTCCAAATCCAATCAGCTACAAACCACACTTCCTCTGCTGCAAATTACCCTCTCTACAACAATAACACACAGGGGGAGGGAGGGAGAGACACACACTTCCTGTCTTTGAGATGTAATGGTGGTGGTAATGTGATTTCCCTGACTGTAAATCTGACCTGTCATCATTCAGGGTGCAGTGTTCAGGAAGCCAAGCCAAACACACAACATTCTCAGAGGAATTCCATTCTAGAATTCACGATTAGAACTAAAGCCTAAACCGTCATGATTCTATAATAAATCCATTTCATTCTAGATTCTAAAACCAGCATTTCACAAACTACAAAGACTCTAGCCTACTATGGCTACATTTGAAGTGAAGTTGAAGCTGGAGTATTTTTGATTACAAATCAAATAGCTAGCTAGATTGTTTACAAGAACAATAGTAGCCAGCTACAAGTATAGGGACAGTAATGTTTGTCAACAAAGTGGCTAGCATCAGCTGTGGCTACATGAGAAGTTAGCTAGCTCCAAACTAACTGGCTAGTTACAATGTTACATTTAGTTAGCATTACAAGCTAGCTACATCCGAACGCCGGGTGTTTACATATTGTTGCAAAATGCATCGATTGGGTAGCTACATTTGATGATACATGGACGCGACTGCAACAGTAGCAAACCGCGATAGGACATCTTCAATCAAAACAAAGCCATACAAAATCGCTGACCACACACAACAGCGACGTAGCAGGCCCAACACATAGCTAACGCTCAACTAGCCGTCTCCAGCTACCTTCTTTGGCAGATGGCTAGCTAACTTGCTAACCAGTTAACATTTAGAATTGTTCTAGCAAAAATAATAAATAAGATACACGCTAACTACAACCATGCACATACATTGCAGCAATGTCTATTTTTTGAAAATAAAACTTTAGAAATGATTATATTGAAATCGACGTTTACGTTTGACCAATGTAACCCTTTACCTGCAAGAGAAGTCCCAATCAAAGAATGCTGTTTACAGAACTGGGATAGTAGCTACCGTGTAGCACGCTCCTTGCGTAAAACGCTACGGTGGCTGACTGGTTCGTCGTAACGTAGTACGTCCCACTTTTTCAGAATAAACAAAAAAATATTATAACGGGAATACTGGACCAGAAAATACGGACAATGAGAAATCGGTTGTTTTGTCCCTCATGAGGCCTTGTCGGTGGACACAAGCCTGCCGTCGATTTTACGTACAGACCCAGATAAGTCCTTTGTTCGTGGGCACACATGAACAATAGCTCTTAGCCCTCCCTCCTCTTTCTCTCTCTCTCCAACGTTCTCTCTCTCTCTCTGT